GAATCCATTTTCTAAGCTGCCATAAGACACCCTAACTGCCTTCTCTTAGCAATGTGGTGCCAGCTCCTAAACCTGATTCTCCTCTGTGCTTGTAAAACGCATCACACCTGTTGGACACAGCTTGTTCTCATCGCTTCTTAAATTTGTTCCTTGGATAGATGCTGATGTGGAAGTCAGGAAGTGCATGCTGATAAGAGCCTGATATGGATGTCTCCTCAGAGGTCTTCAAGAGTCTGACATATTCAGAGGCAGATGCTCACAACTAGCTGTTGAACTGATCATGGGTTTCTCAATAGAGGAGTTAGAGTGAAGACTGAAGGAGCTGAAAGGATTTGCCGCACCATGAGGAGAACAATAATACCAACCAACCACAGCTCCCAGGGTCTAAACCACCAGCCTGGGAGCACTTAGGGGGGGGATCCAGGGCTTCAGCTGAATATGTAAGAGTGGAGGGCCCTGCTGGGCATAGGTGGAAGAAGAGAACCTTGACCTCATGAAGGCTGGATGCCCCAGGGGGTGGGAATTTTGAGGGTGGGGAGGTGGGAGTGGGGGGGAGTAGAAAGAGGTTACATCCACAGAGAAGAAGGAGGAGGGGTGAGGGGATTGGGGGTTCCGGGATGGGTGGGGGATGGGGTAAGGGGACAACATAGGAAATGTAAATAAAACATCCAATAAAAAAAAATTGTTCCTTGGAGTACCACAACCTACTACACCTTGGTCTTAATCTTTGTTTATTTGTCAACTTCTCAGATGCACCGCACACTTTATTTCTGGGGTTCAGAAGAAGCAGGAGCAGAGGTGGAGACAGAGCCTGGCCGCAAAGGAGGAGTGTATGTGTAAAGGTGGTAAGAGGAAACGGTGAGTGGTAAGAGGAAACGGTGATAAAGCCGAAGACTTTAACCTGATAACCTTTTTAAATCTCTGCCAGTTCAGAGGTCAAAGTGTGATTTAAACTAAACATTCTTTTCACAAACCCCAGAACAACCAAAGTGACTGCTGTCATCTGTTGGGATGTTTCATTTGAAATTTCTTTCTAAAAACAGCATCAGGGAATCAAGATCCCCTCACCTCCCAAAAAATGAATAAACGAAAGAAAACTAAAAGCATCACGAAAGTCCAGTTGCCTCCTGGTCAATGCCTTGCTTAGCTTGACATGAGCAGCGAAGCCCCAGCTTGGTTACATAGGAACACACAGCAATGCCAAGGACAGTAACACTCAGCTCCCATCCCCACCACCACCACCCACCCACCCACCCCTCTCTCTCTCTCTCTCATGCATCTTCTGGTTCAGTCCTCACAAAATTCAGTGAGGCAGCTCTAATTACCCTCGCTTTACAGATAAGAGCTGGAGGTCGGAGAAGATAAACAGCCTGTCCAATGTGGCACAGCTAGTACAAAAGGCAGACATGGGATTCAAACCAAGAACGTTGGGCTCCAGTGCTCAGACTCTTTTCTCCAAGCCACACTGCCTCCCGATACTCCTTCCCCATCCTGGTTGCTGTGAGACTCCACTATCTCTTCATCATCATCAATAAATATTTATCAAGGACCACTGCCTACATAGCAATGCTCTTGTTTCCACAGCAACACGCAGTCAGAGAGTCATGGGAGTATCCCGTGCTTAGAGGAACCATGCTGTAATATCCTCTGATCATGACTCTGAAAGGTGACAGTTATACTTCTACAAGAGAAGCCATCTCAGCTGGCACCGTGAAGCCTGTGGAAATGTGCTTTCGGATAAACAAGAAGGAACCGAAACGGAAGAGGAAAGATACAGACTGTAATCCAAGAAGGCGGTCTGTATTTATTTCATGTTTGTTGTTGTTGCTGGAGCAGAATCAAAGCCAGGTTTTCACATTAATTGTTCTGTTATTAGGAAACAAATCAAGCAATCCAGGACAGAAAGTAAAATCCAACTGTACTGAGAACAGTTCCCCGGAGGTATCTGGCAGCAATTTTCGAGTTAAATGACTACATTGCTTACAACTGCCACCCGGAGTTGGTCCCTGTCAAGATTTGGCTTTAACTTGTAGTACTGAAACCCACTGATAAATAGACTAATTATCCCCATATCTGCTTACGTAGACGTCACCTCCCCTTACCCCAAATCATGTGTTCTGTTTACCAACTATTATCAAAGCATTTTTTTCTTTAACTATAATTCCTCTCCAAAAACAAAAGAAAAATGTAGTGGCTCATGAAACACACACTGGAGTAAGGAAGGAGGAAATTGCCTTTGATGAAAGCTTCTGACTCTGACTTTTGGACGCTGTGACCAATAGTCACAGCAAAGCTCATCATCCTTCGATGTCCTAGATGTAAGCTCACAAATTGAAATTGCTTCTGAGACCAGGGGATCTTCAGATCAAAGGAATATGGAGAACACACTACTGAGTTTTAAAATGCATTATTTACTCAGTCTTGCGGAAAGTTTAAAATAAGATACTTCAAAAGAGACACAAGTATAATCATACTTATAGCGAATTTGGATTCCGACAATACCACAATGAGGAATAAAGTAAGAAGAGAAGTCCGTTTTGACAAGTCAACAGTTGCAGAATCAAAGCGTCGACAATTACAGATGTTCATAAGGAAAGCCCCGGAAGAATCCGGTTTAAAATGATCTAGTTAGCATTAAAGTAGAGCTAGGTATAGAAAAAAGATTCCCCATTTCTATAAATGAGCGGAGCTTAGAACGCACCAAGTTACCAAGACAAGCTAATCCCACTCCTTTAAGTAGCCCGGGAACAACGCAGCCGCTTACTAAATATACACTATTGTAGCTTTGCAAAACCTATGGGCCCAGGTAGAACCAAAGGAAACATATGGCGCCTTCACAGTCGATTTCTTCCCAAACTGTACTCCAGGATTGCTTTTCTTCCCCGTGTGTTCCGAATAGCAAACAAAGAAAAAGGTGCTTCCTCCTCACACTTCTCTAAATGTTTTAACAAAAGGCTGCTGAATAAACACATTACTCATTTAAAAATTGAACCGAAGTTCTATCCCTGAGATGAAAGCGGCTCGATTTGCATTTAACAGCTGTGGGCGAGCGCCACCTTGCGGGAACATGCGGAACCGGCGTGCGTTTCAGCCCTGAACAGCTTTCTGGAGCAGGTTCTGGGTTTACAGCTGTTACCCAAAAAAGGTCTGTGAGATGTGTTTGATCCGGTTTCTGCTGCGGGAACGTGAGTACTATTAACGTGTGGATACCCCGCCAAGCCATAAGAGACAATAAAAATCAGAATCATAAGTCATACTCGGATCCCCAGGACTGCCCCAAGCATCCTCCTGCCAGCTTCCTGACACAGCACACGTAAGGCAGACCCCAAAGAGAAACCAGAGCCTTGAAGCATCTTCAGAATGATGCTGCGGCCGCCTCTTTACTCCCTCCTTGTCCCAGCCTTTCTGCTTCAGACACCTCAAAAAGAGTGTCTTCCTTGCTCAACTTCCCTGGCACGAAACCAAGCTGTCCCTTCCCATACATCCTGTGTCCAGTTTCCATTTTAACATCGAGTCAGGGAAGAAAACCTAAGACATTTCTAAAGGAATGTCACTCCAGCAGTTCTTCATCTCCAAAGCAGCCTGTTTAGAGACTTCCAGCAGACTCGCTGCCTTTCTTTCCCTTTCTTCCTCCCCTGATTTCTTATGTGAACACAGCTGTTGCTTAGCAATCCAAAAGCAGCCCTTTCCTAAGTCCTGCTGACATGCCTCAATGTGCCCTCCGACTCCGCGACATGAGCTCAGTGTAGTCACTCCAAAACCGAAGGTGCTAAGAAACTTCGAGGTGATTTTGAACTTGTAGGTATCCCTCCCGACCTCTCCCTCTCTCTTTGAGGGACTCCCGGATGGAAGCCCTACCAGTGGGGTTTTAGTGATGAGAGTGACCCTCGGTAGTGGTCTCCTCAGCTCAATTCGCCACTAAGAAGACACTAGACACACTCGGGGGAACTAGCTACCTGCCTACGGGCAAGCCTAAAGACGAGTGTCCCGAAGTTTTCAGAAGCCCACTGATCAAAGCCACGGCACTTAAAGGGCCTTAGCAGGATACTCATTACTCTGGACAGAGCCAGGAGGTGAGGTGAGGGCTTAGCTGTGTGGGTCAGTCACAGGAACACTCCCGTGGGAACCCCCACCGGCTAAGGGCTGGCTACGGGGAGCGGCGTGTTTAGAACAACACTGGATGATCTTCAGTGTCTCCCAGGAGAAAGGAAAAGCCACCGCCCTGGCAGCCTGGGCCTGCTAGGGACCTGTGCTCCCCTCTCCAAGAGCGCGCAGCCCAGGAAGCTGCCCGGGTGACAGTGCTCCGCGCCGGGCGAGAAGCGGCGCCTCCTCCTGCCACCCCGAAACACTCGAGTGACAGGTTCCGACAAGTGGGAGGCAGCAAGTGGAAATATTCGCAACAGCCGCGGAAAGTTACTCCCGCCCGGGGGTGGGGGGAAAAGGGAGGAAAGTAAGGCGACGAGGAGCCATGGGGGGACCTGGCGCAGGACTGGGCTCGCCTGGACGCAGCAGCTGCGTCCGGAGGCTGGGATGGGACTCCCACCGGGTCCCGGCATCCCCTGGCCATCGGATCCAACTTTCTCCTTCCAGGCTTGAGGAGAGCGAGGGGGTCTGGGGAGCCCGACGGGCGCACTCACCTGCGGCGCTCTGCGCTCCGGCGCCGGGCAACGGCGGCCGCTGCAGCCCCAGGAGCAGGAGCCGGAGCAGGCAGAGGGCGAGCGCGCCGAGGCTCCCCATCCGGGCGGCGGGCGGCTCAGCCCCTTCCCGAGGGCGCCGGGGCCGGGACTCGGGCGGGCGCGGGGCGGCCCCGCATCGCCAGCGCGGCTGCAGGCAGTGCGCGCCGCTGGGCTCCCGGGGCTGGCTCCTCTCCGGCTGCGGGAGCCGGCGCCGCTGCGCTCCGAGCCCAGGCGCGGCGCGAACTGAGGCGCGAGGCTGGGCGGGGGCGGGACGCGGGGGCCGGGGGGCGGTGTCCCCAGAGTCCTAACGCCGCCGCCGTCGCCGCCGCCCGCCCGGGCGCTCCGCCTCGGCCACGCACACCCTCGCGCGCACGCCCGCCCGCCCGCGCCTGGTACACGCCCGCGGCTGCCACTCGCGGGCTCCCCCCCCCACGCACCCTCTCCCCGGGCTGGCCGGCTCGGGGCCGCTCGCGCACTCAAGCGCGTACACACATCGCTCTTGCACCCACAGGATCTGCGGGGTATTCGCCTCTTCGCCCCGCGCCACACCACCCAGCGGAGCATCCTCTTCAGGCTACCCTGCGGGGGCGCAGGTACAAGGCGATGGGGGAGGAGAGAAACCTGGAGCAGCCTTTGAAGTAAGGGTGGGAGAACAGGTGACTGGGGTGGGGGGGGGGCGGGGGGGCCGGGGGGGGGGGGGGGGCCGATCAACTCTGGACGCTGCTGGGCTGTGAATTGCGGGAGGGGGATGCTTCTTCGCAAAGCTGGGGACAGCTGTTGAAGAGTCTCCTGCACACCCTAAAATTCTCTCGTATACTCATATTCTCCCTTTCTCTTTCCTTCTCTCTCCCTTTCCCTCCCGCTCGTCCCTCATCCCCTTTCATCTAGTCAGCGGTCCAGCACACCCCACCTTAATCTCAGCACATCTCTTTCTCTTGTCCCTAACCCCGCCCTACACACACAGGTGTGGGGATCTCTCCCCCTCTCTAGCTGCCTCCCTGTTCTCCCTTTCTTAAGAGATAAAATCATATAGCTTTTCTCCCTTTTTCTTCCTCGTCTGAACAAAGACCGGGTTGGGGCTGAAGGCCTAAAGACAGAGATCACTGGGCAGAGCCTGTCACAGCCCACAGGCCTGGGCTCAGGGATCTCATGGAAGAGACTGCCACCAGGGGAGGGATGTGTGCTTTGTATATAATGGCCATGGATTAGGACACCCAAAGATGCTGAAGGGATTCCTACTTTGTAAACACTTTGCTCCCTGCCCAAAGCCCTCCTCCAGTTTAACTAAATGCTCCAGGTTCCCATTCCACTCCCTTGTTTGAGTCCCAGAGGACTGAATCGGACAGACCATTAGGAATCATACATCCAGGGTCTCCAAAAGTGGGGCACCAGGGGCTCTGGATTGGAGTTGCTTTGGCAGAGAATGTACAGAGACTCAAGGGTACCCCAGGTCTGCCGAGGTGGACATTTAGATTGAACACAAGCCCGTTTATTTCTCCCAGCCCACACTTTTAATTCCAGGCAAATGCTTCCACCTGGCTCTGAACTACCTACAACCACCTCCACAGCATCCACTTTCCTCAAGATAAACATAGGGTCCAGCCCATTCCATGACCAGCGCCTCCCACGATTACCTGTCAAAGCACTCTCCCAGGGAAGAGAACCCCTCCCCCAAAAAATCCTGCTGCTTAGCCCTCACTCCAGGGAATAGGGTTTGTGGTCTTTGTGGAGAGTCTGGAAGTTAGACCTTTTGCAAGCTACCTTGGAGGTCGTTAAAATTTTTACTAATATTGACAGTGCCCTTGACTGGGCGTCATAGCCTTGGCTGTTCTCTGGTGACACAGGATGATTGCCCCCCTGGGAACAATAGGAATAGAAGATCCCTTCAGCTCAGAGCTAAACTACCCACTGTTTGATCCCTCCTACCTCTCCAGACCTAGCGTTAAGTGAGTTAGATTGCAGCCTCTGAGAAGAAATCTGACTCCAGCCCACAGCTTGAGTGTCCTGGCTGATGGGAGACTGGGGTCGGGGAGGCTCTGACCCAGGGGAGAAGTAGGAGGTCTCTAAGCCACTAAGCAGTTTTGTGTAACTTGTCAGGGCTCCCCTGAGCGCCTGCCAACCCATTCCCTCTCTCGGGGATTTTAAGTATAAAATGGTGGTTCTCGGACATCTTCTGTGTACACGCCATCCCTCAGCTCCAGAGCCCGTGCTACAGGATGCTGTATCTCTGTAGCAAAAGTTCCAAAATCCGAATGTGGATCGCACGGCCCCAAGGAAAATAATCCTGCTTCTCGGTGACTGACTAGCAGAATGTAACCTGATCACAGCACCAGGTCTTTCGTGCCCAGGTGCAGGGTCCCAAACCAGGGCCCTCTTGGTTTTGCCCGGGAGCTGTAGTTCTCAGACCCTGTGCTCCACCTACTGTTTGGTAAGCTTTGGCATCTAACCTAACTGCCACACTGCACCAGAGCTTTCCCCTCTGCCTGGAAGAAGCATCTCACATCACTTCCCGGGTATGAAACTCACTTAAGTTTCTCTCTGAGACATTTGGTTATCAAACCTGTTGTCAAGGCCCCCTATGTGTATCAACTATGAGATGCTATCTCTTCACTTGTCTGTCCTAGAAGACAGTTCCCACAATGCATCTGGACACTTCAGCCAGGGCTAAGGGCAAAAGAGCTTTAAGAAAGGAGGAGGGCAGGAGGGTGGGTCCCACAAGATCAGTAATGTCTTAAGTATCTTCTCAGAACCAGCTAGAACCAGCTTCTCAGAGGGCCAAGGTTCAGAGGGCTCTACGGTCAATTCCTTACTTTCTACATGAGAAGGTCAGAGAGGTGGGCTGGGGGTGAGGGGTAGCTGGCTAGAGAGGAGAAACGCCATTTGACTCCATGTGCCTGCCCAGTGGGAGTGAGCCTTCACCTTGGCTCCTAGCTCAGGGCAGACTCTGTACCAGTGCTAAATGAAGGTAAAGCCCAGGGGGTATCCTGTGATAGCTAGAGGGAGTGGTGCTCCATCTAGCATCCTCCTCCAGTGCTGCTCAACCAGCAGCGCCCTCTCTCTCTCTCTCTCTCTCTCTCTCTCTCTCTCTCTCTCTCTCTCTCTCTCTCTCTCTCATCCTCTGGGCCATTATTCCATTTACCCTGTGGGATGCTTGGCAAACCTTTAGAAGCCTCAGTTTTCCTATCTTGCACAGTGACTTCCCTTCCAACCCTAGTGGGGATCAACACAAGAGTATCCAGATGTGGTCACTTCAGATCTCTTTATCTGGGCAGTTTTCAAGGAAGTGGGAAACCTGGTGAACCCTCTTAACAGTGAGCAACACCTGCTGTGCTCACAGTGAGCATGGGTCCAAGAGGCCTAGGCTGCAGCCTGAGCAACAGGTGTGACCTATGCCCTCTGGGAGGAAGCATGCACAAAGAGGACAAGAAAGAACAGAGACAGGCCTCATCTCCAGACTCCTTCTGTCCCGGTGTTTCCCAGCCTGTCAGCGACCAGGAAAGGGCACCTCATTTACCTATGTAGAAAGGCCAGTGGTGTGGCCCTTGATTTACCCCCCATCTTATATATGAGGAAAAGGAGACTCAGAGAAAACAAAGGCCTGTGTGAAGAGATGCTCCGTGCCCCTTACATGCCGTGGGTAGCTGCACTCTTCTTTCTGGGACAAAGTATACACTTGCTTCGTAGCTTATAATTCATAATTTCAGTCTGTGTCTAGCAATACTTCAAGTGTTTAGAGGCCACGAATGGGGAGTAGCAGCCAAATGCCACAGCTATAAAAAACTCTACTAACATTGCCTATGCCCAAGGTTACCATGACTCTCCAAAATCTGACCCATTGTCTATAGTATAAAGTTTTATTGTGCCACAGCCATACATAGTTCTTGACACACTTCCTATGGACACTTTTCTATACAAACATCTGTTAACACTGTTGTAGAGCAGAGGGGACCAAACCATAGGCCATGACTCATATCCATCCCACTGCTTGATTTTGTTAATAAAACTTTATTAGTACACAGATTCATTCATTTGGAACATTATCATTGGCTGCTCCTAATTTGCATAAGGGGCAGCCATGCCATTAATGTCTTCATGGACAAAGTGTGCCCTTTTTTAGATAAAAGTCTCACAGGACAGACAACCACTGACCTAAAACTCACTTGGAAATAGGGTATCTAGACCAGTGTCTCTGTCTCTCTCTCTCTGTCTCTCTCTGTCTCTCTCTCTCTCTGTCTCTCTCTCTCTCTCTCTCTCTCTCTCTCTCTCTCTCTCTCTCCCTCTTTCCCTCCTATGAACAAGTTTTCAGGACCCACCTTAACCCTATGGAAATACTGGAGGTAGAGCCTGGGAATCTTTGCATTAAACAGCCTGCCAGGTGACTGATACATGCTGAGACTGGGAACCCATGTTATAACACACTCCTAAAGGAAGTGCCAGGAACTGGCATAGCTAAGACGTTCACGGGCTTTCATGGGTGATGGAAGACTTTGAAACAATGTCAGAAGTGAGGCCATAGGCTGCTTGCTCTTTCTGCAATGAAACCTCTGAAAGCCACAGGAGGGTGGGGCCAGCAGGCAGTGGGGCCTGGACATCCACGTGGGCATCTCTTGGCTGCCTGCTGGTCCCACCCTCCTGAGGAGCTGTCAGTGTATTCAGAGCTGCCTCCACACATAAATTCATGGACCAGCTGTCTCTTTTAATCTGGTTGCAAGATGAAACCATTAATAGATGTCAGACACATTGGCAATGATCTCTTCATTAATAATTTCCTCCTTTCTGAGGAAAAAAAATTAGTAACAAGCAACCATCAATAATTCAGAAATACAAGTTAACCTTTCTATTAGCAGAGTCACCGTGCACACAGTACAAACTCAGAGCCAGGAGTTCTGGCTTGAGTCGTGTTTTGATGGTAGGGATATTAATATGCATTAATGCTGTCTGTCAAGACCAAACATAAATAACCCAACTGCAACTTAGAACTCATAAGTATGCTTCAAGTGTGACCTTCTGACCCAGCCACTTGGTTCTGTAAAGGCATGGATCAGCCAATCATCTTGCTGTCTAAGAGAAGGCCTTTATGAGGAAATCCATTTTTAGCTGGAGGTCCCTATGATGCCCAGCTAACCCTGCTGCGCTGTGATCCTCTCCTGCCTAGGGTTCTTCCCCTTGAGACCAGGCAGCCTGAACTAAAAACGTTCAGACTTCTTTGTGAGGTTGGATGGGCTCCAGGTGAGCACTCCCAATTCCAGACACCTCCCTTCCTTTGTCTGCCAACCCCAGGCTAGCCCCACCTGGCTCCTTGGTGTATTTGAATGACCCCCTCCCCCAGGAGGTCTCAGCATCCTGCCTTCCTCACTCCTCCATTCACTCTCTGAGCTACCACAAACCAGACACTTTCCCTCTCCAAATCTGTTTCCCCATCTGTGAAATTGAAGTGATTATCCTCACCTCACTGAGCTGAAGTGAGATTAAGTAATGAATGTAAACACACCTAGCATAGGGTCTGGTCCACTCAAGAGATCATTCCCTGGCCTTTCTTCCTTCTTCAGGTCTGAGATTCACTATCTTACCCCAAACTTGACTCCTAGGCCAGCTCTCCTAGACACCTGGATGACAGCTTAGCATGAAGAGCCAGCTGCCTTCTCTTCGAGCCAAAACATCAGTACGTGGTCCAGACCATTGGCAAGTAGACCTGGGCATCCTGAATTTATAGCTCCGACTGCATCTCTGCATCTCGCCCAAGGGGAGTCTATGAAGCAGCTGTTTCTCTTAATTAAAAAGGAAACGCAGAGAAGAGCCATGGAGGCATGCCACTCACATTCGCCTGGACACTGCTGGACAGTGGGGGATGTCCCCACCCACAGGTGACCCCATCCTCAGCTCAGGCTGAGAGACCACAAAACACAGTGGGGACAGGGTAGTGTTCATGCCTGGGTCTTGCTTCCAACCAAATGGCTTTTCTGATAAAATTAGGGAGAAAAAGCCACAGTTCACATGGCAGCCTGGTACCCCAGAGTTGGATATACATCTATTTATTGATTAACTATTGGATGTTTTGATTTTTTTTTCTAAGACAGTTTCTCTGTGTAGCCCTGGCTGTCCTGGAACTCACTCTGTAGATCAGGCTGGCTTGAACTCGAGAGATCTGCCTGCCTCTGCCGCCTGAGTTCTGGGATTAAAGGTATGCTCCACCACTACCTGGCAACGTACCTTTTCAGAGCCTGAAAGTCTCTCAAGATTCTCAGCCCATCTACAAGCCCCTGATTACAAATCTGGATTCCAGAAGGTTCTAGATAGGGATAGAACTCATCACAATAAAAACCTGAACCGGTTACTCCTATCTGTCCACTGAACTCCACCTTAGCTCCTGGTTGCTTCTGTTTGAATCCTGCCCAACACTTTTCACAACCATGATGGAAGTTTAGAAGACATTCCACAAGTGGTCACTCACGAGCTTAGAAACCACACTACAACCCTGCTCTCTACAGCATGAAGTCCACAACCCTAACAACAGCCAACTGGACCCTCCAGTGGCTGGGCACCCTGCCTGAACCCTCCCCTCCCTAACAGCCTCGCCCCAGGGAAGTCTTTGTCAAATAGAGACAGGATAGTACTTGGGGTACTGGAATAGCCTAGGAAAATGCTCAGAGACCTGAGAGAGTAAGTATTCAACGTTCCAGGATATACTGAAGGCTTTTCCTGATGCTTGTCTATGCCTCAGTTTTATTTGTTCTATCTCTTGTTCAAACACATCCTTTACTCCAAGCTGCACAAGACAGATTCCCATCACCTCCCTCTGGGCCTTTTTGTGTACAGCCCACTCTTTCTGGTATGCCAGAATCTAATTCCTTATCTGGGCATCCAACCCCTTCAAGGATCAATGTGGGGCATTGTCCATGGGCTAGGCTGTCTTAATTTCCCTTCATTTCATGTGCAGGTCTCCCATTTCTATAATATGTGAGAATGCTAGGATGTGTCTCTCACACCCTGGAGTCTCCAACGCCAAGCCCCAACTAACACTCAGTAAGTGTTGCTGATGACCACAGCCAAGTTTACCAGCCAAGATCAAATATACTTAGGATGTTATTCGCAATAAGAGTATCCGTGCCCATTTATAGATCTGCGAGGAAGCCAACTCATCAGAAAGAACACATAGTCAGAGTCTTAGGTATACACAATGAGAAGTTCCAGGGTGACACGTTCCAGATGCCCCAAATCCTAGGAAACAAAGTGCTCTTGGTAATAATTCAGTCACCTCATGATCACAAACCCAGGACTCCAGGGAAAAGTCTGGATGTTTGTCCTATGTGTCAGACTGGGCCCAGGGAAAGGGAAAGGACACAAGAGGATGGCTCTGCTGTTCAGGTTGACACTGACCCAGCAAAGATTTTACTGCAGTCATCTTGCCAGAAGCACCTCACAGAAAACAGCTGTGATAAAGGGCTCAGAGCCTTTGGTAGCCTGCCTTGCCATGATGCAGCGTCTTCTCCCAGTGTGGAGTTTTTCTCTTCCTTCCCCCATCCACCCTTTTATTTCTCTTCTTTCCTCTCTGTGTCTTAGCACTCCTTCTCTGTGTGAGTAGTTAGAATATGGACAATGGGCTCTGTGAATACAGTCTTCACAGATTGGTACCCTCAGCACGAAATGAGACTGCCAAGAATTGGAAAGATGTCTCTGGTGGTGGAAGACCTGAGTTCCATGTTCAGAATCCACACTTGGAAAAGCAAAGACAGGTGTAGGGGCTGGCACAAAGGCTCAGTGGGGAAAGGCACTTGCCTGGCAAGGCCAGAGACCTGAATTTGATCTGAAGAATCCATAGAAAGGTGGAAAAAGCTGACTCCACACAAATTTGTCCTCATGTGTTGTGGTATGTGTTCAAGTGTGTTCAAGCACACACATGTGCATAATAATAATAATAATAATAATAATATAAATTAAAATAACTAAAAATAAAATGAAAATGCCAGAGAAGTGACAAAACGTTCTTGTAATCACAGCACTGGAGGCAAAACCGTGGATCCCTAAAGCTAATTGAGCAGTCAGCCTAGCCTCCTTGATGAGTTTCCAGGCCAGTGGGAGACTGTAACAACAACAAAATTGTGGACAGCATCAGGGGAACAACACCTATACAACACACACACACACACACACACACACACACACTGTGAGACTTCATGAACCACTCTCTCAAACTCTATCCAATAAACTGACCCAACAAAGACACTAATTGGCTGATTTGGTTCACACTCTACTTCCTAAACAGATGAATTTGCCAAGAGAGGGGGGAGGGCACACTATAATCAGCCAGCCTAAGTAATTATCCACAGCCAGGTACCATAGACAGCCTCCATAGTGACTAAGCCCACAAGACTGACCAGAGCAGGGAGGATATTTTTCTTCAAGCATCCCAAGACAGTCTGGTACCATAGTCCATAGTCCATTTACCTTACAAGTCATAAACCCCTGTAGTATGTGGTGAAAATATGTAAACAGTTAGCCAAGGTCTGCACCCTCTTTCTCCTCTTCTCCACTTAACATTCACCCCAAACTCCATATCTGTGAAGACTGTATGATTTCTACACAGCCTTCCTCCCTCTCTACCTAAAGCATGGATGCTCTCTTTTCAAAACGGCTTTCAACCAGCCAGAAACTCCACAGCGAACTCAATAGAATAAATACGATTCTTATGTTCCAGGAAACAATTTTTTTCCTTAAGAACTATCTTATTGTGCTACATAGAAATACATTTCACCCAGAATGCTGGCAGTGAATCTATCACCTGTCCATGTGACCCAGCTAAGAGAAAGGTGGAGAACTCTCAAGCACATAGAGATGGCTAACTAGTATCACAGGTCAGGATCCACACATTTAGTCAAGTCATTCTCCTGTCACAAAGACTGTTGACAAATCATTATTCGAAAAGCTTTAAAAAATGGCAATAACTGAAGACGACTGGTTGAAATTGAGGTGAAGAACTGAGGTTGTAAACTTGGCATATAAAAACACACAACAACCTGCCACCTGGAAACACAGAGACGAGCTGCCTTAGCTGCAAGCCTGTCCCAGAGTGGCACACTCAGTGTCTGGCTTGTCAGGGTAGGGTATCCTGTGCTCTGAGTAGAGGACTGAACTTTGCAGGGATCTGTAACATTCCGTTACAGGAAATGCTGTAATCACTCTCTGCCACTGAAGCCTAAAGATGAATAAACTCCAGGCTCTTTGTGTTGGTTCTGCTTCCACTCCTGAGCTGTTGGTAGTCAGGAGTTTTTGTGTTCTTCTTCTGAGCCACGTGGTCTTTCCAAAATTCACCTACTATTCCCATTTACAGGTGAGGGAACTGAGGCACAAGACATTCAATAGATAGGGGCTGATGCTGGTTTTAAGATCCTGTACCTTTAAGTCACTGAGATTGCATCTCCCAATCATGGGTCAGGCATGTCAGATCAGAAGGGATCTCAGAGCCCAAACATCTCAACCTCTTTTTCATTTTACAGACATTTCTAAAGAGCTCAGCAATATGCAAAACCAAATAGGATCCAACTTAGACAGCAGCCAGAACCTCTGCACTAAGTGGTGGGCACTCTTCTCCCCAGAGCAGGAGAATGTGCCCTCATAGCTTGGACTGATTTTATTTTTCCTCAGCCTTTGCTTGCTGGATGCCTCATCCCTCAGTGATGCACAGTGCTGTCCTCTGACCCAAATAACCATCATCTTTATAAGAACAGCAGTGTCTGCTTGCAGACATCCTCACAGCTGGGCTTGTGGGCTGCTGACATTCTCTCACTGAAGGAGGAGAGGGCAGAGTTACTGGACTCTCACTGGAGCTTCCGGCCCCTCCAACCATTTGTATGCAATTGAGCCTTAAGTACATGTGGCCTCAAAGCAGGCTAGAGACTAGGGGAAAGGGGCTCTCTATGCAGCCTTGGGGATCCATATCTATACTTCCCAATGCACCTTCTTTGGGATCACCACATTCCTGTGCATAACCCCTTACCTATGCTCTCTACAGAAGCCCAATAAACTTGTTTCCCACGGGGTGAAATTTGGTGGAATCATGCCCTGGGTTGTTGTCAGGACTTTAGGAGAAGAAGGTGGATATTGTTTGCCTCTCCCTTGGGGAAAGAATTTTAGCAATACTCACCTGCCCCCACAGACAACTGAGATGTACTCATGATCACAGAAAGCACCCAGTACCAAGAACAGGTCCCCAAATTGACAAGGGCCAATGCCACCCCAGGGCCTGGTGGAGTCAAAGTCTCTCCTTCTGGAGCCTGGATTTGAGAGAGACCAATCCATCTGTCTAACCCTTGTTTTCTGTGAGAAGGCCATCAGTGCTCCCACCAGTGTCTTAAAATGAAATGCATGGAACTGTGCAACCTCTTCACAGTCGCATGCCTGTATCCTGATAGGATCCCCCAAAACAATCAGCAATCGAGAAACATTAAATATTTCCTCACAGCTAATCATGAGCCCCGCCCCACCCCCTTCCCTTCCCTCCTCCAACTCTTCACACAGGAATTTATTTCCTATTTGAAAGCCAATCTCACTGGTTATTAGATATTCTCCCGGCTGTCACTATCAGTAAATTATTAAACAGCTGACCAAGCTTTGTTTTAAAATGATTCTCTTATGAAGCTCGGTGATATATTTGCCATGAATACTGAATGGCGCCCGGGTCTCTAAGGACACGGGAATTATTCCTATTTATACCTTTAGCAAAATGTGTAGCAGTTAGCAGCGAGGACTTGACTTGGATCACAGTGAGCAGAGATGTTCATCTCCCGTGGCTTGCTTCCTTCGTGATGATCCCGGCTGGGAGAAGCATGCTCGGCAGCGAGGCCATGTCTCGGGGCTGTGTGAAGACTTGCCGTCCTCATTCCTCACCTCCTTTCTTCACTTGCCACCCCGAGCCACACCTGTGGGAATCCTTGCCTGAGTCACACTTCAAGAAAAGAAACCTGAGCTGTAGGGATGGCTCAGTGGTTAAGAGCTCTTGCTGCTCTTCTAGAGGACCCAAGTTTGATTCTCAGCACTCAACCTTGCATCCTCCTGTAACTCCAGCTCCAGGGAATTTGATGCCCTCTTCTGAGCCCACTGGGCACAAACGTACTCAATACACAGACACACACACACATACACAGATACACTCAATCACAGACACATACACACTCATACACTTATACTTGTACACACAAACATGTACACAGGCACATACTCAGACACACTCAATCACAGACACATACACACTCATACACTTACACACAAGCACGCGCACACACACATTCTTAAAAGAAAAGTCTGGTTGAGAGCAGGAAGACACCATGTCTGTATAAGTTTGTCCAGCTATGGATTGGAAGTCACCAAGGACTCTGTAATGAGGCAAACAGGACCTGACATCAAGTCAGTGCTCAGGACTAGGGGCTTCTTGTTCCCATTGACCGCTACATTCATGCAGATTCACTGTGTTGTGAGCAACAGAGGAAAAACAGAGCCAAAGAGGAAATATATTGGCTTCTCTCACCAAACAGCAGTTGATGAGTGAAAATCTAACCGTGGAAAATAGACGTGCTTCAGATCCTTACAACAGAGGCCATTCAGTGCTGGAAAGTAGGTATGCAGATGATGAGGGAGGTGAGAGAGGGGCAGGGGGCACTGGCAGGTAACCCAGACATGCCAGGGGGAAAGCAGTTAAGAAGGCAGGTCTGGGAGACCAGGAAGGTATTAAGGCATCAAAACCAACACCTGGCCAGCTGTGGCCAGGAGAAGCTGGAATCAACAGGGCTACCCCTGTGCAGCTGGAGAAATCACCCAGAGCAGAAACAACAAGGGGTGATATTCTTGCTTCTCCCCTCCCTTGCCCCTCTGCATCCAACAAGGGTCTTCCATTGGCCAAAGCACTAGAAGCCAGCTAAGACAGCAGTCTGGGAAAAGTCAGCAGCTGGGGACAGTCTCTCTGCATATGGAGCCAAGCAGGAAAAAGGAGAAAGCATGGGATTGAAGATAGATAGGTCTGTCACCAAGCCAAACCCAAAGGGCAGTGGAAAAGCCAGCCTTGGAAACCAGTTGGCCTTAATGGGGCTCTGCCTCTGCTCTATTCATTAGCTGAGTCTTCCAGCTCTGCCAAGGCACAGAGTGCATGGCTGAGGGCATCCATCCATCCTCCCAATTCCAAAACCACACTTTCCTCCTCCACCATCACCAGGAAGAATCCCAGTTGATCATATGGCCATCCCTTGAATCAAAGCTGAGTGATGGGCCACCAGGATTTGCCTACCTTGAGCATGTGCTCATCCGAGTGGCCACGGAGCTTAAATTTGTTCTGAGAATCAAGGGAAAATTGCAGGGAGAACGGGGCATGAGTTCTTTCCCCCAAACAGAGTGAGTCTGTTCTACCTGAGAAATCACTGAGAGATTAGGAGAATGTGGTAGCCATTATTCCTGCATAGTGAATATTTTCAGCTCCTTTTCCAGGGACACTTGCCTATCCCCTTGACATGACCCAGGAGATTTCTTTGACCAGCAAACCCTGCCAGATGGAAGCTTTGTAAGCATCGATCGGTCATCCCTGTCTTTGCTTTTGCCATGTTTCACCAGGAGCTGTCCCATCAGCCTCAGCCCCAGAATGAGAAAGACTTTGTGGGCTCCCTGCCAATCCCAAGTAGCCATGTGGTAGGATCCGATAAATAAACAAACCTTTGTGCTTTAAGCCACAACAGTTTAGGAGTCCTTTGTTACTGCAGCATAACCTGGATTATCCTGACTGGTTCTGTGAGAAAGATACTCAAAACAGTGACTGTTGAGCTGAATACCAAGGCATCTGTCAATCTAAGCAGCCCTAAATACTCATGTCAAACAGCCATATATTAGTAGAAGCCAGAGGAAGAAATTAGACATTGCTTGTTATTCTCGGTGTCATCAATGGCTAAGTCACCATTCCTATCTTCCTCACAGCACTGTTTTTGCCCAGCTTGATAATGATAGCTGTAGTTAAAAACTACCATTCATTGATCATTTGTCATATGTCGCACACCATATAAAGTATTTACAATTCTACGTGAGAGGCATTCTTATCCTCAGATTTCAGACGTGAAAACTAAAACCCAGAGTGAGAATCTTAACACGCCCAAAGCCACATAGTATCCTGTTCCAGAGCAAAGGTTCTTAACTACTATCCTTCAGACCATCCCACAAACATCTTCCCACGTAAGACAACCTGCCCCCACTGGGTCACACTGGCCTCATTCTTTCCCCAGATACTCTGGTCAGCCCTGCCCCTGATCACAAGGGATTTAAGAGGCCTTGGTTGGAGGATACTGGGACAGTATCCTGTTAGATCAGTCTGATCAATGATCCCATGAAGGCTCTGAATATCTAAACACTGTTTTCTGGGCCCTTCTGATCTTACTCTTAGCTAGTTTCCTAGTCTAAAAACAGAGCCCTGTCTCACTTTAATGCAGTGATTCTCAACCTTCCTAATGCTGCAACCCTTTAATACAGTTCCTCATGCTGTGGTGACCCTCAACCATAAAATAATCTCGTTACTATTTCACAACTGTAATTTTGCTACTGTTCTGAACCACAATGTAAATATTTTTGGAGAGAGAGGTTGGCTAGAGGGGTCATGACCCTAGGTTGAGAGCCTCTGCTCTAGTGCCTGAGTTCCTACTTCAGTGCTAGCTAATGCTAGGCTTTATCCTGTAGTCGACTTCTGGGTCTGACTTATTACCCACTCCAGCTGTAGCTACTTTGGCCCCTACCACAGCCAACCAGATTTACCTCTGATGGATTTCCTGTGTACTTGGTAGTGTTTTATCAACTTGACACAAGCTGGAGTCATTTCAGAAGAGGGAAGCTCAACTGAGAAGATGCCACCAGCCAACTGGCCTGTGAACTGAAGTATTTTCTTGAGAATTTTTGTTTATTTTTATTTATTTGTTCATTTATTTATTTACTAACTTTGGTGGGTCTCGCTGTATAGCCCAGGCTGGTCCTGAAATTGACAATACTCCTGCCTCAGTTTCCTGAGTGTTGAGATTATAGTCTACCATACTAACTTAACACACACCATGCTCTCTCTCTCATCAGTATTAAAGGATCAGAATGGACTGTACGGAGTATACCACAGAATTCTGGAACTCTGTCAGAAAATTATATTCTACGTGTGTGCACACATGTGTGAACATGAGTACATACTAGTGCCCAAAGAGGCTGAAGTTACAGGTGTTTGTGAACTGCCAGACTTGGGTGCTAGAATTCAAGTCCCTTAAAGGAATAACATGTGCTCTTAACTCTAGAATTTGACATTCTTGGCATGAAAGTGCTGTACATCTTTGAATGAGCAAGTCACACAGAGGATAGGCAATGAGAATAGAGAATATATATGGTCTTAGACACTGTTCTAGTGCTGCTAAGAAGACACCATGACCAAGGCAATTCTTATAAAAGAAAAAATTTAATTGGTATTTGCCTTCAGTTTCAGAGGCTTAGTCCATTATCATCATGGCGGAGAGTATGGCTCCGCAGGAGTAGCTGGGAGCTGCATCCTGATCCACTGGCCAAGAGAGAGGGACTGGACCTGGCATGGGCCTTTGAAACTTCAAAGTCCACCATAGTTGGATATATTTCTTCCAACAAGGATACTCCTCCTAATCCTTCTAATACTTTTCAAAGAGTGTAATTCCCTGATGACTGATCATTCAAATAGGTTAGCCTATGGGGGCCATTCTTATTTAAACCACCATATATAGTATTATAGAACTTTCTCAGTTGCCCTGTTTCTACACTCACAGCTCCAAGAACTCTGCTTTCTTGACCTTGCTCTGTCCTGAGCATTTACTGTCTGTTAGTAGAGATGGGCTATACTTCCACATTGTGCATGGAGATCTCTGTGAGTTCAAGGCTAGCCTGGTCTACAGAGGGAGTTTCAGGACACCCAAGAGTACACAGTGAGACCATATCTCAAAAGGAAAAGTTAAGAAAGTCCAGACCAAGTGGAGAGCCACAGCTGAGATCACTAGGTAGCCAATGTGTGAGCTGTTCCAACTGTATAAAGTATATTTGGAAATAAGCTGGCCCTTATTTGATTGACAGTGGTTAGGATTGTCTTTAACAAACTCACAACTACAAGCTATTAATTCCCATGATCAAGTCCTACCACAGAATTTGATTCCTTTGTACCTGGCAGAGGATGGAGGGAAATCCTACTGAAAGACCTGGGAACACTCACACACATACTTTAGCAACACTGGCAGCTCTCTGACTTTCCCAGCTTTGAGACTCTGTATTACAATACACACACACATACACACACACACACACACACACACACACACATATGCACACATGTATGCACACACAAAAGCTAGGACATAGGAAATCTAAGTGACTTTGTCATGCTAGAACTAGACCCACCCATACACCCCCATGATCCTTCTGTTGCATTTTGCTTCCTGGAACTATCCACCAGGATTCCATGAAACCATGTGAATCCAACATCAAGTCACAGCAAGGGTGCCTGGAGCTGGAGAAACAAGTGGCATTTGGGAAATGCAAACACTGTCATTACCTCTGCTCCCCAGGGGTACACCTGTGATCCTAGGATTTGGGAGGCTGAGGCAGCAAGATTGTGAGTTGGGGGTCAGCCTGGACAACATAGTGAGAACATGACTTACAAAAACTAAGAGAACCAGATGATCAATGGGGGAGATGGTCCCCAAAGCGCCAAAGAGCATACTCCAGTTCCAACAAGTCAATCCAATATTTTAATTAATGATCACATTTACAGATGACTCTGGAAGCCAGGAATAAAACACAATCTATCCACCCATTAGAAGAGAGAAGATTCTATAAAGATTTGGGGCCATTCAACTTCAAAGGTCCTGGCTGCATAACAATCACTCCATCCTCAACTTCTGCACCAGGCAAGCCTCGAGTGGAAACATTTTCTATCATCAGGAAAGTATTCTGTTCAGTGGAATCCATTTCTCGATAAGGCGGTAATTACTGGAACAATTTTAGTAGGTACAAAAGCATTTTTAACGGTTTTAATTATTCAAAAGCCTGACTAATTATCTAGTCCATGGATCAGAGGCCAAAGGGGGATAAACCGTATGAAAATGGTTACCATGGCAGGGAGAAAGGAGAATTCAGTCAGCTTCAAACGGGAAGCTACCCTGTGACTTTGTAGTGAGGACTCTGTCCTGATGTGTTTGCTGAGGATGGACTCTGGCCTGGATCTTAGGAGACATGGATTCTGATGCATCTTTGACCTTCATTCTAGACCAATGGTATTAACGACCATCAGTATTTAAGGATAGGAATGGACTGTAGGTGGGGGAAACATATGCCTCTGAAACTCTGTCAGGAGCTGACATTCTATAATTCTGTAGTATTCTAAGTATGTGTGAGCGCATGTATGTACTCATATGCATGTATGCGTGCATATGTGAATGTGTGAGTGTGCATATGTATGCATGCACTCACATACATGAATGCTAGAGAGGCTAAAGTTACAGGTATTTGTGAGCTGCCAGACCTGGGTGCTAGAACTCAGGTGCTTTGGAGAAATAACACATGTTTTCTCCAGCCCAAGGACTATCTTAAACTATAAACTTCATCGATTTTTTTTCCTGCCCTGGGGACAATGAAAACCAGAAGTTGTTCATGAAGTTGCAAAAGCACTGGTCATATTTGAAGTACAAAAAGGAGTTGAACAGACATGTAGGTTAACATGGGAGGTGACTGGCAGAGTGTGACAGGGCTTCTCTGGTAATGAGTATGTTCCTTTGCAGATGCCAACTTTGGGGTGAAGAAAAGCCATTCTCATTGCTTGATTATTTATGGAACACCTGATGTAACTGAGTGACTTTCTCATACTGGAACTAACTTCTGCCCACCCCACTCATACCGGAAGATCCACTGTCCTTCAGTTGTATTTTGCTTCCCAGGATGGAAGAAAGAATCTTGTGTGTTTTGGGGCCACCCAAGGGATTAGAAGGAAGGGTGATTAAATCTGACATGGGCGTAATTAGCCATAATACAGGGCAGACTGTGGCCCACCATGGAGGAACATAAAGCATTCCAGAAGTTACATAAGTGGTTGTTTTAGACTTAAGAAAACAAGGAAGGCCTGGAGACAGGAGGACCTCGAAAGGAAGAAGGCAGTTTCAAGTGAAGAGGAACTTGGAAGCTGAAGCAGCCAGGGTTTGCATAGCAATGCGGTGCTGCCTCTGTACTGTGTCCTCTGTCCAGTGCTAAGGACAAAGCCATGAGTCTCCATCTTACCCTGACCAAACTGTCCTCAGTGAGTGCAAAGTCAGGGCTAAGTGAAGAGAAGAGATGAGACAAGATGGTGTTGAATCCTGGTCGTCCACAAAGCCCCCGGGCCAGTCTGTTACAACAACATAGCATGACCAGGCTGACCTCCAGCACTGAATGAAAGGCCCATTCAGTGATGGCTTGTCTAAACAATAAGCAGATCTTTGTCACATCAGCCACAGGGTGACATTTCTTCTGATGGAAGCTATCAATACATCCGACATCCGATTCACGTTGATAGAATTACCTTCCATGAAACCACTCAGTCTTCTAGCTACCAGGATAGTACCAAGGTCTCAATGAGTTTCCATTGTCTCAAAGAAAAGACTTAAAAACGCAAAGAAAATCCAGCCTAGATTAAGTTATCGCAAAGAACAGTGGTCTTATCTCACTGCTGGTCCTGCTTTCTAAGGAGTTCTCATTTCTGTGCCAGAGGATGTTCTCCGTGTAGCAGCATAACAAGCTCACTTAATCTTAGCTGCCCAGAGATGCCCTCTGTGTGGCCCTTCCCCCGTGTCCACCTGTCAGCCCCTGCTTTGCTTTGCCTATGGGTTTTCTCTATCTTCCAGCATCCACCTTGCACGGCAATCCCTAAGTACCAGGCACTGAAACACCTCCTCTCTGCATACCCTTGCCCTGTTGCATAGGCACAGGTGTGCACTCACACACTAATTTCTAATGAAGGAAGCAGCCTTCAGCTAAGCATGGGTGGGGTCTTGTGAACAAACAACCTGCTCCAGTGTTGTGTGTCACTGAGGGGCACATAGAGTCTCACAGCTTCCTCAGCAGGAGTATGTTCCAGTCATGCAAGGCATTGCCTTGCTGACTGCTATACAGTTTAATGACTGTTCTCTTTCTGGTCTCCTTTCATGTGTCCTCTGTTCTGTCTTCATCTCCAAGATGACCATCTGCCTTTAAAATCCATGCTTTAAGGTCTTTGCCCCAAGGGAATCCAGAGCCAGATGCTGCCCTATTAGGGAGGAAGGTATTTATTGACACCCTTAGGTTAGACCAAGAAAGAAATGGAACCAGAGAAAGGTTGAATAAATTGTGGTAGATCACAGGGCTGGAAAGAGACAAACCTTGGAATCAAACTCGTGCTCTAAAGTCTGTGTGGGAAACCCACCATTCCTGGGAGAACCACACAACCACAGAGAGCTCTGGCTGCATTTCCCTGGCTCCAGGAGACAGATTACAGGGGTAGGTGGATGAATACATCCTTTCCCTTATTCATCTCCAGTCCCACCTTAGAGATTCCAGTGCATAATTCCAAAGAGTGCTTGAGCAGACATTTGATGTGATTTTCAATGCAGTGGCAGCCACAAGGTGATCCATCAGCCAGCTCTTTGACAGAGAATTGATCTCCAAGGTCAGGAAGTAAACCTCCTGTTTATGTAGGATGCACTTGGCATGTGCCCTCTGAGTAGCACACAGAAGATAAAGCCCAGTCAATGGCAGTCTTTGTCAGTGAGTTTGTTATGGCAAGAGGGGCATGTGAGGTGCTCCACTAGCACTCGGGATATTTGCCCTGTCTTTTCTGTTTTCATTCTTTTTTTTCTGTATTTTAAACTTTGCCTTTTCTTTCACATCT